AAGAATATTCTAAACAAAGCACAGGAACGTAGTATACCATACAAATTGAATAGATCGAATACCAATGACCCAAAGTGGATAACAAAGAATTTGAAGAACCTTATAGGTAAAAAGAGAGCTTGGTACAAAAGGATTAAAAATGGGGAGGTCACTTTAGAACAGGAATTCGTACAACTGGTTAGAAATGTTAAAAAAGAGATAAGGAAAGCAAAAAGAAACTATGAAGTTCGCATAGCAGGGCAAGCAAAGACAAATCCTAAAGGTTTTTTTCAGTTATATCGTACTAAGACTAGGGAAAGGATAGGTCCATTAAAAACTGAGACAGGTCAAATAACAGATAGTGATGAAGAGATGAGTAGTATTTTTAATAAATATTTTGTATCTGTATTTACTAAAGAGGAACTTAACAATATGCCTTCAGCCGAACAAGTCTATGTGGGTGGGGACGAGGACAGGTTGACGAGTTTAGCAGTTACCAGGGAGGATGTTCTTAAACAAATAGTAAAACTCAAACCAAACAAATCCCCAGGGCCGGATGAAGTGTTTGCCAGGGTGCTTAAAGAATGCAAAGAGGAGCTTTGTGACCCACTGTCTACCATATTTAATAAATCAATAGAGTCAGGCAGAATGCCAGAGTTTTGGAAAGTTGCTAATGTGATACCAGTTTTTAAGAAAGGAGATAGATCACTTGCATCTAACTATCGACCAATTAGCCTAACGTCTATTGTGGGAAAGTTACTCGAATCTATAATAGCAAATAAAATTCGTCTTCATCTTGAAAAACATAAATTAATAATTGAGTCGCAACATGGTTTTATAAATGAGTAGTATAAATGAAGAGATGAGTAGTATTTTTAATAAATATTTTGTATCTGTATTTACTAAAGAGGAACTTAACAATATGCCTTCAGCCGAACAAGTCTATGTGGGTGGAGACGAGGACAGGTTGACGAGTTTAGCAGTTACCAGGGAGGATGTTCTTAAACAAATAGAATAAAAATAAAATATCTAGAATAAAAAGATAACAAATTTGTTAAACATGAACGGCCATTTATAAAACCATGTTGCGACTCAATTATTAATTTATGTTTTTCAAGATGAAGACGAATTTTATTTGCTATTATAGATTCGAGTAACTTTCCCACAATAGACGTTAGGCTAAATGGTCGATAGTTAGACGCAAGTGATCTATCTCCTAAAATCAATCATAACTCCCAGATCCCTTTCGCAATCCGACTTCGCAATCTCAATACCATCTAGCTCGTATCTTGTAACTCTATCATCATTACCTAGCCTCAAGGTTTTGTTATAATTAATTTATAAATTAATTAATAAAATTACTGGTAAAGTAATTTTTGTTATTGGTGTGAATGTATATGGGGGGTTGTTAAGGGGTTAATAAATAAGTAAGTTAGTTTTAAAGGAGTATCCATTCTTCCTGTGTAGGAGATCTATGATCTACCTCTAGGCTGACAATTGCAGTAATAAGCCACTATAAGTTTACTCTTGTATGTTTGTTGGGGGCCGGGCCTTTTAGATCTTCCATACTTGATAACTCTTAATTCTAACTACTGCCCCTACATCCATTTAATACTAGATTCCCCATAGTACAACCCACTATTTATAACAACCACACCAGGTGTCTTGTTACTAACGCTACGATTAATAAATCCCAGCATGGTAAGTGGAGTGCCTCAAGGCTCTGTCCTGGGACCTCTGTTGTTTATAACATATATAAATGATTTAGATTCAGGTTTGAGTAGCAACATTTGCAAATTTGCCGATGATACGAAAATCGGTAGGGAAATTAATTCGCAGGAGGACTCACTATCACTTCAAGTTGATCTAGATAGGGTTTTGAGATGGTCAAAGGATTGGCAGATGCAGTTTAATGCTGATAAATGTAAAGTTCTGTGGCTAGGTAATGATGATAGAGTTACAAGATACGAGCTAGACGGTGTTGAGCTGTCCGAGATCATGTGCACGAAGAAACAGCAAAAATCAGAGAAGAAAAATGGCTCGAGTGGTGTGCCAAGCTAAATCAGCATACGTCCTTGGGCGACATCTGGAGGCAGATCAACAAGGCCAAAGGAAAGTCGCCTCCTGCTCCGCCACACCACGTTCATCCAGAGCAAGAAGCAGAAATGCTAGCAAATCTATTTGCTTCAAGAGCCAGTTCCACTCAATTTCCTCAAGCAACTCACCAACAAAGACTTCAAGCAGCAAGATGGAAAAAAATAGATGATGCTTTAGCCTTACCTGACGAACTTGACCAACCTTTCAATCTGAATGAATTCAGAAGTGCTACAAAGAAAACTAAAAATATAGCTTCAGGCGAGGACAAAATCACTTACAACATGCTAGCCAGGCTAGGAGAAAAGGGTGAAGAAGCCTTCTTGAATCTCATCAACAGAGTATGGGTGACAAGAACCCGACCACTCTCTTGGAACAGTGCAATTATAGTTCCCATTCCAAAACCTAAAGACCCAGGAAATCCAAGACCCATCTCATTAACACTTTTGCCCGGGCATGACGCAGCATTGCGTCATCCGTTTACTGTCGGTAATACTGGGGATGACGCAGCATTGCGTCATCCACTTGAAATAATCGCCAAAAACCAGGTTTTTATCCGATTTTTTTGGGACTGGTTTTAAAATGTGCGCCGATGTCTTCCCATTTTCTTTGTTGAGCCTCGTGGCTCTCAGGTGGCTTGGCACATGCCGTGGACCCATTGTTTTTGCTCCACTGTTGTGACCAATGTCGCCTCCCCTCGCATCTCAAACGTGTGAACATTTCGGCTATTTTCCGTGGCTATATTTCTTACTGCGGCTTTAGAAACTATCTACCCTTACTCCACGATGGATAGTGATCATGAACAAGGCCCTTCCAGGAAGAAAATTGCGAAAGAAAGGCTTGAAAAGGGAGGGAATTGGGAGTGTAGCTGGAAGGCGTCTGAGCGCTCACTCCTGGCTAACGCGTGGCCCATCTTCAACTCGTCGGCGGTTGGAGCATGACCAGGTTTTATATTTTATATGCTAATGTTCCTCTAGAGAATTCTATTGCGAACCCATTGAGACCAAAATGAAAGACCTAGGACAAAAATTGAGGTGACCAGAGTGAAAATAGTGAAAACATTTTATCACGTTTGCGCGCTCCTGGGTAACTCGTTCGCACTTTCTCTGTTTGCTGTGGGTAATTAGCCGGGCTTTTGGAGTTTATATGCATTTAGTGCTGTAGAGAATTCTATTGCGAACACAATGATACCAAATTTAATCTCGTAGGACGAGAATTAAGGTGACAAAGTTGAAGAGAGTATACACTTTTCATCATTTACGTGCGCTCCCGTGACACCCTGGGTCCCATATCGCATTGTTGAGGGGTGGCGTGCGGGGTGAGCGAAAGTGTTAACAAGCTGTCTGGCCAAAACTGCAGAAAGAATGGCCCTTAATCGAATTGAATGGAAAGCCAATCCACTACACCAAAATATGTTTGCTTATAGAAAAGATGTTGGAACCACAGAATGCCTTACCTCCCTCCTGGATAAAATCAATGACAAACCTGGAATCCTTATTTTTCTAGACCTTGAAAAAGCCTTCGAGTTAGCCAGTGCTCCAGCTACACTGTGCTGCCTTGTGGATAAGGAAATCAATGGACACGCTCTTGCTTTTGCCAAAGGAAGCCTGCTTAACTGAGAAGCTAAAGTCAAATTCCAAGGAAAAACATCGACCTCAAAGAGGCTGGAAAATGGAACTCCGCAGGGAGGAATACTAAGCCCCTTCCTCTTCAACTGTCTCATGGAACAATTCATGAAGCTCAAGCTACCAAAAGCCAAACTTCTTAACTATGCAGATGACTTTGTGGTCATCATCAATGGCAAAGATGCAAGGAACCATGCACAAAAATGCCTAGATATTATCAGCAGGGAACCGGAATGCATAGCAGTGAAAATAAACATCAATAAAACAAAAGCTATGGCCGTTAAAATGAGAACTCAAGACATCAGACTGGCAATACAAGGACAAGAAATTGAGTGGGTTACCTCTTTTCAATACCTAGGAGTCATAATAGACAACCAGTTGAAATTCACTCAAGAAATTGAATATCTTCGGCAACGCTGTAAAGCCAGAAACACAGTTTTGCGCTCTCTGACCAGTCTTAGAGAGGGTGCATCTCTACCAGTACTCAAAATGTACTACGTTCAAGCAGTTAGGTCACTCATCGACTATGCTGCCCCTGCTCTTACATCCCTCAGTGATAACCAATGGGAGAAACTGGAAGTGTCTCAAAATTATGCTCTGAGAACAATGCTGGAAGCACCTATATGGACGCGTAGAGAGAACCTTAGAATGGAAACAAATTTACGAGCATTAGAAAACAGGATGAAACAAAGGATAGCCACCATAATAGGAAAACTTACTGGAACAACCGCAAGACTGTCAATCAAAGGCAGCATACAGAGATCCTTTCAGAAAAACCTACAGTTTAGAACAAGCTCATGGATGGATAATGTGGTCAAGATTTTAGAGAAAATGGTATGGTACTGTATGATCCTGGCTCGTGGTTCCTGGTAGGCATTGAACTCCAATCGAATTAACTGATGCCACGGTTTAATACATACATATCAGCTTGGTAAGTTCCGGAGATCTGGAGGGGGGCTCTACAGAAATACTTGAATATGAAGATACCCGAACCAAAGGTGAAGCCAGGTTCACATGGTCACTCATTAATTTTCTATCCAGACACAGAGAGATATTACTTGCCAGATAAAGTCATGTGCATATCAATCACCATGTGTCATGCCATAACAATGGGAAATATAAATGAAATGTGACAGAGGAAATTTAATCTGAGGTATATAATAAACCAAGACATTATATCTTGTTTTCTGTGACATCTGAGCTGTTTTTGAGATTACTAATTTAAACTTGATCTACAAGACAAAATATGCCACAAAGAATTATGATAAAATCTTTAGTGGGGGGATAGAAAATAAAAGAAAATTGGGTTATAATAATGTACTGTATTACACAGTTGTGAGAATTTATGAAATTAATTATTAATTCTTTGTCATCATATACAGTACTATGCAATGCTATTTATACAATATTCTGCTGCACTACAAAAAAATTCATTTTAGGTATACAAATCCATGATATTATATATGATGTATCCTAAAATTTCAGATCAATTACGTATCTTATTATAATAAGAATTTGGAATACCAAGATAGACAATTTTCAATATAAAGATCACAGCATACAGTTCAGTATTAAATATTAATATAATTCCGAGTATATAAATTAGTTATTTTATTGTATAATCAACAGCAAGCAACTCTCAATGTATAGAGTTGGAAGTTTTATTACACTCAACTATACAAGTCAGCATAAAATCTTAAGAAATATAATAACACAGTATAAGGTCGACCATTTACATGTAACTATCATTTGTATACACAAAATTACAACTATTTTAAATTATTAGCATGGATAAAACTTTAAAAAATAGCTGTTGAGCATTGCACCTGAAGAAATTATCTTATATAATATGGACCATAACACTTCTTCACAAAGTTTGTTGAGTATTTCCATAAAAAGAAGGGTCAGTAAGAGGATACAGTAAAAAGTACCATGCTATGAGACCTACAACATGACAAGTCATTAGTTTAATACATAATGGATTTGGTGCCTTTAACATTTCCTTTAATTCTGGCAAACCCATATGATTGCAGAAAGCATGGACTGCAAACAATGGCAAAAAATGACCTGTAAAAGGAAAAAATATTTAATTTAAATGTAACATAAAGCTGTCTTAATTACTGGCTAACAATCAATTTATCTAATTACATTTAACACTTTTTCTAAAACCCCCCTCACTTTCCATTTGTTTCCTGAAGATTGAGATGAAAGTAAAGTTTTTGAAGTGTGTACAGTATTAATTTATAGAAAGAAAAAGACCCGCTCATTCGATCTCTACCACTAAAAAACCAGCATTGAATGTAATGAAATGCCATTTTCTGGGTGAGCCCTGGAGGCTCCCTGGAGCTATCAGGCTGATGTGTGTTTTATTAGTCTGGGGCATCAGTCAACTGGAGTTCAGCCTACTGGAGACCACGAGCCGGAACCTGACCACCTCAGAAAGGCAAAGGGAGCAATGGCCTATAGAAACGAAGCAAACAGGTGGGAGACCAACAAAGATGCCACCTGCGCCCCATACAAGTGATGATAAACTCGAGTCAGAAACTCTAGAGACGAAGACTCGAGGAGACAACGAACCAGCCTCGTACCAGGCTAGACCAATCTGTTGAAAGAGGTGGAGCCGCGGGAAGACCCTTGGGTCCGGACACAGAACAAGCAGCGCCTGAAACCAAGGCTGGGTCGGCCATCAAGGAGCCAGAAGGAGGACTCTCCCCTGGTAAGTCTCTAAGTGAGTCAGGACCCGGAATAACAGCTGAACCGGGGGAAAGAGGTACATGTAACCCCACCTCGCCCAATCCTGCCAAAAAGCGTTGACCCCGACGGCCTCGCAGTCGGGGAAGGGTGCCTCGTATACCGGGAGACGCCTCGACCACGCCGATGCAACGAGATCCATTTCCGGGGGCTCGAACATCTGGCAGAGCCAATTGAATGAGTTGGCATCAACCATCAGTTCCGTGGACAGGGGAATGAACTGGGAAAGGTTGTCCACCAAGACACTGGACACCCCCCCCGAACGTGAACCACCAGGAGAACCAAACCTTGAGAACTCAGTAGATGAGTCACTCAAAGTGACCAGCTTCAAAGAGCCAACGACCGCAGGGAATCCCTTCGGTTCAGGCAATGATCCACCGGTGAACAGTTTGAATGATCGTTGATCCGCAAGCAACCTGAACCCTCCATAGCGACATCCACACAGCTGCGAACTCCTGCACCGTGCTGTGAGCCCGACGGAAGGACGGACCCCACCAACCCTGGCTGGCCTGGTGAGCACTGGTCACTGCCCCAGCCAAGAGTCGACGCTTCTGTGAACACATCAAGTGAGGGCTTGGGTAGGCGCCAAGGCACTGAACCCCGAAAAACCCGAAGAGGAAGCTGGCTTCCTCGCCAGCTCCCTGGAGGCCAAACCTGGCGGTTGCAAGAGAGGCGGAAGGGATGTTCCCGATGGAACCAGAACAGCCGACGAAGCCACACCCGACCCAGCGGGAAGAACATCGTGGCAAAGTTCAAGCTCCCGCACAAACCCTCAAGCAACCACTGTGTAAACCTGGAGCCCCTCAGGAACAGACGATAGCGGAAACGCAGGCGAAATAGAGCCACTGGAGGCAGAGACAAGGAAGCTGTCTGAGCGTCCCACACAAGACCCAGCCAAGACCAAAACCCGAGCTTGGGGAGTAGAAGAACTCACAGAACCCCATCAAGCAGGTATCAAGTGGAAATCTCGCATAAAGCGAGGTGGGACTCAAAGGTCTCCTCTATCGGACCAGTGTGCCCAAATGGAGGTTCCCAGGGCCCTTAGGCTGACTGCTAAGGGAAGCCCAGGCAAGGTACTGCTAACCGATTATCCCAAAACTATCAAGCAAACAAACAAGATGCTGAATCCCTGCGACATGTGCAAGCACAGGGATCTAGCAGAGGGGCCACCCAAATAATACAAGTGGTCCTATAGCCACACCAGGTAGACCCCCACCAGGCAAAGCAAAAGAAAAGAAACACCCCACAAAAACACAATGCCCCCAGGGGAACAGAACTGGTTGCTATGTGTATATCAGACAGCTGCACAGTACCTTGCGCCCCAGCCAGTGACGATATTACCTCCTACCCAAGGTCAAACAGGAATAAGAACAACCCCAGCTGACCCCATGGGCGGGCAATCACTGAGCAGCAAAAGAATCATGCAGAAGTAGTGTCCCGAACAGCATATGGAAGACAACCTTAAACCGCAAGGGCAGTACTTACAAAGTACCTAGGGAAGGTGGCCCTAGGCGCATGCAGCCCCAGTACTTTTCTGTTACTCCTGGCTTGCACATCACCACACAGATTTGGTGGGACCAAAGAGCCAGAGCTCAACTGCCACAGGCACAACTAGGTAAGTACTGTATAGTAGAACAACACCATTATGGACTGCACTGCTCAAAAGGATGGAGCCAGAATCGATCAACCGCTACCAAACACAAAAGTCTCTGAATTGTGGTTGGGTAGCCGGTGTGGGAGGACTGGGACTTCCCCCACCTTTCCCCTCCCAGGGAGGGGAAGTTGCGTAGAAAGCAGCATGGCGGCTGTGGTGATGTCATGCTTGTTTTTGATGTGGGAGTTCTGCTTGCTAGTTCGGCTTTCGGTTTGCAATTTTTAACTAGCCGGAGTTTACTTTGGAATTCCCACCTTTCTAGGTGCCTGATCTGGTAGATGGCAGACATAGACTGCTTCCAATTACATGGGGTTTCTATAGGTCATTGCTCCTTGTGCCTCTCTGAGGGGGTAAGGTTCCGGCGCTGGTCCCTAGTAGGCCTAGAACTCCATCGATTGACTGTTGCCACGGTCTAATATATACACATCAGCCCAATATAGCTCTGGGAAGCCGAAGGGGCTCTCCACAAAAAAGTACTAGAAATCTTACAGACATTTAACAACTTCAGATTCAGCAATCATCCTGATTTAGTGGGTAGGGTATAGTCCTATATATAGGTCATTAAATTGAGTGGATATTGTAATAAAAATACCTGAATGAAAAATACTGAAATGTAACAATTGTTTTGGATATACTGTACTGTATTATGGAAAACACATACCTGTTCTTATAAAGAGAAATGCAGAATAAAAACCAAATACTGATGTATACAGGAACTGGAAACCTGAGAAGAAAAACAAGTAAAATTTCATTTCATCTGAAACTAAAACAGAACAAGAAAATATGTTTATCATTTATACTGAAACTGTGAACATAGATTTGAAAGACGGTATAATCCAAAATAAACAAAGTATTAACAAGCATTGGTACGACAGTAATAAATTATGTAACTATAGAGTAAAAAAAAAAAAAAAAAATTATGGGGAGAGTCCTGTCAGTTCCCTTAAGCTAGCATACTGATAAGTTCCATACTGCTTGAGTGTCATCACTCGCAGAGTTCTTTTACCCTATCAGGGACCACGAGCCAGAACCTGGCTCCCTCAGAGAGGCAAAGGGAGCGATGGTCAATGAACTCTTTACATTTAAAGTTTATCATCTCTGCCACCACCAGGAAAGCGCCCAGAAAGATAGGTGAATCAAAACAAACTACTGCATGATTTAAAAATGAGGCTGAAGCTGTAATACAGTATTGCCAAATGAACTCCACCAGAATGAAAACAAACAATCAAAACTTCATCCAATCAACCCCCCACTAGTTAGTTCAACCTCCCCCCTCATTGGGAGAGGAGGGAGCCGGCCCGGGTTATCCGAGCCGACACCAGTCAGTTCTTCAGTGATGCACAGAGGCATGCATGAGCCAGAAGTTTTTATGTACTGGAGCTGCATGTGCTCAGGGTTATATTCCCTGTGCGCTCTGTAAGTACTTAACACTTTCGCGCTTTAGATTAGAGATAACTCGTCACTGTTTTTTCTAACGATTCCGCATAACAGCCTACTTTTCTCGTCCATCGAAAAAATATTTCTATAAATTCCATTTTTTAACCGAAATGGATGGGGATACTCTCAGATTGGCCTTAGCCTTATGACTCAGCCTTATAGGCGTGGAACAGCTAGGAATGGCCAACAACAACAAGCATACCACATGTTCCCGACATAGATGCCAGCGCAGCTCCTCTTGCTGACGCGGCAGTTTCAACACCAGGGCCATCTGGTGCGAGGCGTCCTCTGTTCACCTCAACACCTCAAGCCCACTCATCAACCACAAATTCTGAAATGGACATTGAGGACATAGAACCACTTGATGTTTCTGATTTCATAGAAGATTCTACTATAAGTTTGGTGGTTCCTGTAGAAGACAATATTCCTCCAGTGCATCCAAGAAATACAAGAATTATAGATTCAGAACAACGTCTCAACTACAAGTTGACGCATGAACTCGTGCACTTGGCTAAAAAAAGAAGATGCCGTGTTTGTTTCAAGTCTGGCAAAAGGAGGGACGTGATATATGGATGTAAAACTTGTGATGTGGCACTGTGCGCTGCGCCTTGCTACACAAGGTACCACCGAAGAAAGATATTTTGGGTGGAGAAAAAATAACCACCGGCAACAGCTTCACTCCACCTAAGAAACATCAGATGAGCAACTTCAGGATCAGAAGCCTGAAGATGGTGGAGTGAAGAAAAAATGCTCAACTGTTGATCTTCAATCAACATAGACAGGGTAAGTACACCTATTTGGAATTTTTTATCATCTATAAGAAGTTATATTATATACGTTTTGTAGAGAATTTATTTGCGAATTTTTTGGTACCAGAATGAATATTATATCACATAAACTTCTATGAGTAAAAAAAAAAAAAAACACAAAGTATGTTTGGGGGTGTGGCGGGTGTGGTGGCCGTGTGGTAGTGGGTTCCCTTTAGCCGTTGATATATCCAACACGTGGGAAATATTTGTATGTGTTATGTATATGTCTGTGTAGGGAATTTTACTGCGATCACTGTCATACAAATTATAAAATGTTTCAACAAGTATAAACATGACAAACATCAAACGAACGAAAACAATGCGTTCGTTTCTGCCGCGAACGCATACTGAGCGACGTGGTTCTATATTTGGCGCTTCTCTTACACATGCTTTGTACAAATGTTATACATTTCATCTTATAGAAAATTTTATTGCGAACACATTGGTATAAAAAAGAAATACGTACATAGAAAAGTAGGGTCAGGAAACGTATAAATGTATAAACTTTCCAAGCATGATTTCCCCCCTGTGTTTTCGCCAGTGCGCTCGCGGCTAACTACTCTCCACTTCACACACTCTTGCGGGTGGGCAATTACCTATATTAAACATTCATATGCATATGTCCGTGTAGAGAATTTTATTGCGATTCCAATGATACCAAAATTAGCGATGTAGGACAACTGTAGGCTTTGCAACCATTAAGAGAGTGGAAACATTTTGTTGCTGTTTGGCGCTCTCGGCGAGTGATCTGCATAGTTTTTTATTTGGTGTTGATACTCCTTATGCTTGGGCGGCATTTTATAGGTATGCTCTTATAGACAATTTCATTGCGAACACAGTGATACCAAATTTAAATACGTGCGCTTTCAATTATTGTCAGGACAGTCAAAAGAGTGTACACTTTTTCGGTCTTACCGCGTAGGCGCGCGAAGTGCCCAAAGCATCTGGGGTATTGATTTTTTTTGAGCGCCGAGAGCGCGAAAGTGTTAAGTACTACCCTTGCACAGTCAGGGTTGCCTTCTCTGGGGCATTCGGGCAACACTCCCATCATGAGGCTTCCTCGCTTGGGGGGGTCCTTGCCCTTGGGGTAAGCTGGGGGTCTTGGGGTTTTCTATCTTGCCCTGGGTTTAGGAGTGTTTTTGGCTAGTGGGGCGCACTGTAGCCGGCTGGTGCTGCCTGCATCGACAGGGTTACCAGCATAGCTGGCCACCGTGCCTGGGCTTCCTGTAGGGCTCATTCACCCTTCAGGCCCTGCCGGAAAACAACTGAGCCAGAAAAGGTAACCACAGTACAATCGAGCCTGCTGGAAAACTACGGCAGGCTCGGTTGTACTATGGTTACCTTTTCTGAGTCAGCTATCGTTTTTTGCAATTTTGTAGGTTGTTCATCGCCTGTGCCACCGGGTGGCATTCATACATTCTGCATCTATCATGCTGCCTGTTGGGTCGGTGACACCTATGACCCAGAGTCGTGTGGGAATTGTTCCTCCCACCCCCACCATGTACTCCAACTCACTCATTCCTCGTTGGATCTTCTGAGGTCTCAGGCAGTAGTCGCTATGCATCACAGAAGTAGTTTCAAAGACCATCAGTAGTTTCAAAGCGTTATATGACAAAGAGTGCTGGGAAGACGGGACATCACGAGTGTAGCTCTCATCCTGTAATTACACTTAGATAATTACACTTAGGTAATTACAGGTTTTCTGTGTTGCAGCGAGCCAGGTTGTATGCTTGGTTGGGTGCCCCCGGATCTGCCCTGCTTGGTTTTTAGGGCCTTGGATTTGGGGGTATTGGTCATCTTGACCTTGGTTCCATCTACACCCCCTTTTCCTTCCTTAGTGGGCAGATTTTTCCCCTCTTCTTACCCCTCCCCTGTCTCTGGCTCCGGAGTGTCTCAGGGTTTTGGACTTGGGGTGGGGCTTTAGCTCGGGATGTGGCTTGGGGAGCTCCACGGGTTGCCCCCCTTCTAATGTGTGCAAGGAGGCAGTTGAGCTGCTCTTTCCTGCCGAAGCTTCCGAGTCCTTCCAGCTGATTCCCTCTTCTGAAGCTTTTCCCTTGGATTCTGTCTTCTCCCTTCCCCGGCGGTGGGTGTGGCTAAGCGCTCTGCCACGGGACACTTGCCTGTGGTTTCCCAGGGTTCGGGGGACTCCTATTGGGGCTCTTGGGATCCTTTTGGCCCTTTGTGGCCCCTTGTGTCCTCTTTTCTGGGTCTTCTGTTGTGTGGTAGGGGGATTTCTCTGCTCCCTTTCCTTTATGTATTTGAGTTAAGTGGGGCTCCCCAGTGAGTTCGTTTCTGAGTGCCTTTGGGCACTGCAGATTCGCCCTTTCGAAGGTTCTTGATTTCTTGGGTTCACCTGCAGAGTGAATATTCCGAGTGAATATTCAGAGTTATATTCCGGTCTCTTTTGTGTTCGGTTCTTCCTCCCTTTATTGTGTTACGAAGTTCCGGAGTCTTCTTGGCTAGCAGACTGTCCACTGTTCACTATGGGCTTAGCTATTTTGCCATACTGGCATGCTTGAGCCTCCTGGGGCTTTATTCTGTTTGGCTCTCTGGGGGACTTGGGTACGCTTGGTGTGGTTCCTATTGCGAGGACTTTCATCTTGTGCTTCAGCTGAATGCTCTGTTCCTCCAGGAGGCGGTTTCCTTGTTTTTCACCTCCCATTGCGTGTCAGTAGGCTGTGCTGGCTTGTTCTTTGGAATCTGCATGGGCCCTGGCTCTCTTTTCAGCTTCTTTTTTTCCATAGATCTTCCTGTAGGGATTGTTTCTCAGTTTTTGTCGGCTGCCTTGGTGTGCTGCCGTCCAGTTTTTTATTTGCTGTGTGGCTATGAGGGTTGGGCTCGACCTTCTAGAGGAGAAGGGTCAGGGCTTCGCTACTCTTCGTCATGGTGGGTCTTCCGTCTTGTTGGCAGCCGGGTCGGTGGTTGTTCGTACAGCAATATCTTTTTCTGGTCGATGGTGTGGTTGCTCTGCTCGGAAGATTGGCTCTCAGGGTTCGCGACACCCTTTTCACAGATCACCCCTTTGATGGGGCAGTGGAGGGGTGGGGAAACTGCCTCTGTTTGCCCACACTTAGTCCCATAATTCTTGGGTTTTCGGGGTCATGTCTTGTGGCCTCGGGTGGCATTGGGCAACTTCTCCTCCTTTGGGGTGTTTGGGGCAGACCTCTTCTCCTTCCTTCCATCGGGTCATCTTGGAGTAGTTCGCTTGAGCGTGGTCAAAATGACTTCGTCTCTTCAGTAGGTTTCCCAGCTGTTCTGTTCCCGAAACGGGACTGTATGTATCTCTGGTACATTCTGGATTTGTCATGTCTGAACCGGTTGCTTCCTTGCTCCTCCTTTCGCATGATTATTTGTCCCAGGTCCATCTCATATTCGAGCTGGGCGCTTGGATGATTTCCCTGTACCTAAAGGACGCTTATTGGCATAACTCTATACTTTCGAGGTTCAGGGATTGATTAGGTTTTGTTGTTGGGTGACA